AAATACAAGTATAAAATGGAGAAGCAGCTAAAGTTTCAATGTTCTCAATAGCTTCTTAAAAAGGTTGATATTATTGGCCAGTTTTACACTTGTAGGTAATCCATTCCACAGCTGTGCACACATATAAGTGAAAGATTTTTTCATAAAATTTAAATTAAATTTAGGTGCATACAAATTAATGCCAGTTCCCAGACTACTGTTTCCCCAAAACTAAAAAAATCTCTGATATATTTGGGACCGTCGTTATGCAAACATTTATATAACAGAATAAGGGATTGTTGTTTCCTTCTGTGGTCTAATGTTTGCATATTCAAGATTCGCAGCAATTCGTCATAAAGAGTAGACACATGTATTTCTGCCCTCCATGTGGGGCATTTTTTTGTATGTATAGTGCTTAATGGAGAGGGAGGACTTAATTGGGTAGATATGTTACTTATTGTGCTCATGAAAAATGAAATGGCTGAAGTTTTGAAGCCTTTGGAATGTATTTTTTAACCATTCACTTTTGATTGTAACAAAGAATAAATGTTATTTTGAGTAATCTCTTAATTTCTTTTGGTATTTCCACAGATAAATGCCTGTGCTTTAACAAGCGCCCTCCCCCAATTAAGCGTCCACTCCTAGCCACAATGTCAAACAAGTGCTCCACTCTTAGAACTCACCCCACACCCTCATTCCTCACTTCCCGAAAAAGAAGGGAAATAAGGAAAACCATTTCTATTACCACTTCATTACAACATTTTAGACTTGAACTACAGCCAAATCAGTACTTGTTAATAGTTTCATAGTAAGTGCCACACTTTAATCAATTAGTCAAATGTACTGAAGTCACTGTTTGTGTATACAAATTCTCCATCTGAATTCGCGTTGGCTATTGCTCAGCTCGCCACACATTATGCAAGTCAGAGTAGTTCATTATTAATTTATTTTGTAGGGGTTGAACATGAATCTGATACAGATGATAATGATTCTGACAGTGAAGCAGGGACTGTGGATGAAACACCAACAAGGTACACAAACCATTTAACATAAACATGGTAAATTAATTTGGTACATTTCTGTAATATCAATAACAAAAAGCTTTTTATAAAAATTAATTAGGTGTTAGAGCAAGTCTTGTGTTGTTATTTTAGAGTTTCCAAGAAAAGCACCAAAGGAAATTCAGACCAGGTATGAATGAAAGTTACCTGTAATTGTATTTCTTAAGAGGCAACTGGACAGGCTTGTGTATATTCAAGGGAAAACTAAGGTATAAAAAGCCAGTGGTAGTTTTAACTTGGTCTAAAGTCACTTCAAGGAGTTGTGACATATGAAGTTATCCTAAAGTACATTGAATTACTGTTGTCTAGAAAGAAGATGCTCAGGAGGAGTTCTTTGAGCAACAAAGCTCTAAATGTATCACTTCTGATCATACACTCTCGAAACTAAATATGCCACGAATGGATCAACAAGTAAGCAAAACGCATTTTTAATCATTTTCACTTCATTTATTTAAGCAAGAGAATGTGGGATGTTGGGAGAACATAAGAAGAGTTTTTGTTACACGACTCGGGCAGTCAGAGGGCCAATAACTAAAATCAACCAATCAAAATGCTCTATTGCTGGTCAATATTTTCTCAGTATTGGACCGAGCACTGTCCCCAATGGTCCCGAATGATACCCCACTTGTGTCCCTTTGAACTTCAGTCGTATAATAAATCTCTTATTAACCAAGCTTGCTCGGGACCCTACTGGAAGAGTATCGGCCCTCGGTCTTTTTTGTATGGACCTCGCTGCACTTGGTCCGTACTGTCAAGACATCAGGCCGATATTCTCCTAGTGCGGCCCTTGCGTTTGGTTAATAAGATATATGTAAATCATTTGACTCCTGGTTGTGGAGATGTTGGAAGAACAATTGAGAAAAGTTTGTAAATCTCAAGACAAGGTAACCTCAAACTTTTCTTGTGTTCTTCTAACACCCGAAGCGAGTTATTACCCTGGTCTATTACTTTTTTTGAATAAACTCTTGAATGGCAATGTAACCACTAAATACAGGCTGAGTGCTGTAGCTTTATAAGTGGTTCTGCTTGAAGTAACCATTCCATACAGGTGGAAGACAATACAAGCAGACCTATGTGAGAGCTAAATAAAGGTGACAGTAACCTTGTTTAAGGGTAAATAAATTCAGGACTCTGACAACTGACCACTTAGTACATTTCCTACAGGTTAACTGCTGGGTTAATCAATAAGTTTTTTTACCAATCAGGGTGCTTATAGTAAACTGTCACATAATGTTCACTTGTCTATGAATAATAATCATATATGCTTAATAGTCCTTGAAGGTTCCACTAGGTCCTTCTTCATTGTCCCTGTAGTTGTACATGAAGTGAAACTTCTCTCAGCTTTATGTAAACATAGCTACAGTGTGCTTGTGTTAGGCAGACATCTTTTGTTTGGAAGTAGTCAGCTTGAGTAATCCCCTCTTTTTTTATAGAAACTGTTGTTATGTTTGAATCAAGTGTCCAGCTCGCACCCCAAGGAAAGATTTGAATTGTATCACAAATTACAAGGTCTGTTTGACAAGTGGATGTTTCATTTAAGGTGAGTGGGACAGGTGTACTTTTTTATAATTACAATTATGTACTTACATGTACAAATTTAGGATCATAGCAGACATTCTTGCAAACCCAAAAGTCCTTTTAAGTTATTCATAAACCAATCAATCTTGCTTTTGTTATCCTTTGGAATAGTTTTGGTAGCTGACATTGGTTGAATATGCATTTCTGAAACAGAATTGATTAAGTGGAGTGGTGATTATTATTACAAATTAAGCTACCCATGAGATTGTTTTTTTTTTAGTTTTTTTGATAAATTATGGCATAGAAGGGTTTGTTTTACATCCATCAAATGTCACCTTTCAAAACTCTCTTACAATTAATTATCTGATGTTCATCAAATATGATACCTAGCTGATTTTAATTTGTGTATTTGTTTTGAGTTTTGCAAACTTCCCTTTACCTTGCATAATGCTTTGATTTGTATATAGGAATGGATTTAACATTCTTCTTTATGGCCTTGGATCCAAAAGAGTCCTTCTTGACCAATTCCGGTCATCTAAACTTTCTTCAAATATTCAAGTCATAGTAAATGGGTTTTTCCCCAGTCTCACCATAAAAAATGTGAGTGATCTGACAGTTGTTGAATGTTATCACAATTAGTACTTGTAGGATCCAGCTCTATCTTGTTTATAAATTTTTTTGTCATTTTTTCTTTCCAATATGAATTATTCTCTTTTATGGTAACCTGGAAGTGCCATTCTAAATCAGTGACAAAGGTGTATATTGGTGTAAATTTTGTGACTATGGATCCAAATTTATAATTATGGATCCAAAATTACAACTATAGATGATCCTAAGTAAGCTTTCTTTTAATAACTTGGAATTCTTAGCTGTACAGTGTATCATTCTGTGGATTGGTACCATTCCTGTAGTTATAACTGTACAGTACTTTGGATGTGTTGCACATGTAATAGTTTGAGATTACCACTAATAACTTTGAATTGATCTCATATGACAAATTAGGATCTTTCACACTCGAATAACTTTAGATGTATAGTTTAAACTTAGGGTGAACTTCGAATCAACTTTGGTTCTGTAGTTCAATTAAAAGAGCATGATGATTAAAAGTGGGAGCAGGATTCTCTATTCAATATATAAATGGAGTGTCGCCCTACTTGCTTTGTTCTCTGACTTGTACATGAATGGTAAGTGATTATTTAACAATGACTCACCAGTTGTAGTATGTACCTCACAGAAACCAAAACAAATTCATTTAATCTCATCAATATCTTAAAGAATGATTGAAATTAATTGTTGATGGGATTTTGTCTCTTCTACTGCTTGGGGGTGAATAGTCCTAGCTGTATACTTCAGAACCTTGAGCCAATCAACCTGCACGAAAAGCACTCTTCACTTGCAAGATACATAGTGTACTTAATATTAAAATTATTATTATTTACCTGCAGAGCGTAATAATCTCTTTTCACTTTTCAAGGTTCTAAACATCATAACTGAAGAGGTTCTTATGTATGATGGAGCTTTCAAGAGTGTGACAGATCAGTGTGACTACATAAGACAGAACCTTTGCAGTGACAAATGTGAGTTAAGCTTACGTACAGTACTTAGGACAATACAGTTGATTGCTACATTTTCCAGTAGCACTTACATATTGATTGGGATTCAAAAGTCATCAATTTTAAACTATATAGTGTTAAGTACATGATGAGTTTTTCTAACATTACTTTTATTTTTAGATTCAGAGGAGATTTTTCTGATCATTCACAATATTGATGGCTCTATGTTAAGATCCAAAAAGGTTTGTTTATTCTCAATGTTCCATTAAAATTCAGTGATAGGCAGACAGTATTATGTTAACTTTATTGCCTCTAATATTTTTTTATTTAAAAATAACCTAACTTAAAATGGGCAAAGTAAATTCATTTTGGTCTCTGTACAGTAGGTTTGGTGGACTAGTTATACTTCTTGTACAGGATATCTTAAGAAAAAGAAAGTCCATTTTTTCACTATTTATTTGGGCTTTCTTTTCTTGTCATAAAATAAATTTGCTATAAAAAGTGTTTCTAGTTGTGTACTGGGACTTTCAAAACAGCAGTGAAAGAAATTGTGAGTTTTCTCTCACAATATTTTCCGTGGGAGGTTACATGATAAGTCTGGACACAAGAACTAACTAAAGGTACATTGGGTCTAAACATTTTTAACCTGGGGTTCTACAGTATAAATCATTGCTCTTCTGATAAAAACATTGTTAGAGTTGCAGTGAAACTCAGCAAACTGTCAACACTAAAACTGTTGAAGAACAAGCCAGTTATCTAACAGTTACTGTCAATGTGGCATTGTAGTTTGCTTCCATATCTTGATCACCAACATTACGTTATTTGTTTTTAAGGCCGTAAGCATTCCCTAAATAAGTAGTTCAGATGTTCATGGTTTTTTTAGTGGAACAGTCAAAGGATCTGATTTTATTAAATTATGCTTATTGCTCTTTATTTATAAAGAGAAAGAGCAGCGGTAATGGTAAGTTAAATTGTGCATGGTAGATGTGCTGTTAGTCTGTTGGTCAGCCAAATGAGTTATCCTTCTCCATGGTTTGTCATTGTATCGGTTTTGTATCAATATTGGGGGAAGTTAACAGTAAATCAGCAATTAACACAGATTTTTTGAAAATTTCATGTTGTGTTTTAGACTCAGACAATCCTTAGCCTTCTTGCAGAAGTGGATACTCTTCATGTCATTGCCAGCATTGATCACATCAATGCACCCCTAAGTAAGTATTAGTCAATATAGGCCAGTCATTGCCAGCATTGATCACATCAATGCACCTCTAAGTAAGTATTAGTCAATATAGGCCAGTCATTGCCAGCATTGATCCCATCAATGAACCCCTAAGTAAGTATTAGTCAATATAGGCCAGTCATTGCCAGCATTGATCACATCAATGCACCCCTAAGTAAGTATTAGTCAAGAGTAGATTCATAGGCCAGTCATTGCCAGCATTGATCACATCAATGCACCCCTAAGTAAGTATTAGTCAAGAGTAGATTCATAGACCAGTCATTGCCAAAAATCAGAATTTGAATTAGGGAAGGTGATGGATTTTTCGTCTCTTCACAGAACTACCAGTAGTTTCAATTTCATCCAGAAAATAATGGAACTTTATAAAAGTGTCTTTATGAATTTTGTTAATTCTATGTCTATTTTTGTAATCATCAGCAAAAGAAAGCTATTTCTGTGTTTGTTAAATGTGTATTTGTGCAGTAATTATGAGAACTTCTATCTTTCATAGCATGTACATTTGTACATTCAGCACTTAAGTACTTAAAGAAGTACTGTTAGTATTGCTTACAGTCATATTTTTACTTATAGTATTACTTATACTCACATGGCATTGTAGAACAATAATGCTCTGATGAACAAAATACTTGTTCATCAGAGCAAAATACTTCAGATACTCGAGTGTATAACATTGTAAATAACTTATGTACTGGTAGCTACTTTTGAGTTGATTGTTTATTTCTTGATTTGGAATCTTTTCAGTTTGGAATCATACTCAGCTGAGCCGTTTTAACTGGTCCTGGTTTGATGTGACATCCTTTGAACCATATAGGGAAGAGACCTCATATGAGAACTCACTGCTGGTCCAGCACACTGGAGCTCTGGCACTTAGTTCTTTAGTTCATGTGTTCCGTAGTTTGACTCCTAATGCCCGTGGTATTTTCATCTTAATAGCACAGCATCAGCTTGACGAGAAAGATAATAGTAGTTATATTGGTAAGCAGTTCTTATTCCCCTTAAGAGTGATTAGCATCTAGGTTCTCATTAAGATATCACCCCTCAATCACACATTAATGTAATGAGAATATAGGAAATGATCACCAACTAAAGAAGCTCTTGATCATTAAACAAATTCTCCTTGTTAGCACCTTAGGAAAATAATGTAGAGAGAAGAGAATGGAGAATATGCATACTGATGTTGGGGTGTAAAGGGGTAATCCTGGTACTAATGAGCTTCAAAATACATACATGTATTATGGGAGAGCTTTTTGTATTGTTGGTGTGTGAAGCTTTTAATCCTCAGCATCTGATTAGTAATCCTCCTTTCTAGTTTTCTAGTTAAAGTTTGAAATTAGTGTGGATAATTCAATTTCATACCAAGGTTTCAATCTTTAGTTGATGGCTTTGTTACTCATCACTTGCATTTACTGAAGAAAGGTCTTATGTAGATCACTTTTTAATATATACCACCTTAATAGAGCAATTTCCATTTGAATGTCAATAGTAATCCTAGATTGCTTTGCCTTTTCATTTCCTTGCTCTGTGATTGGTTGAGGAACTTGTGCCACTTTCTCAACCAATCAAATTCAAAGTTAAAGCTTTGAATTTGATACCAGCGCAAGTATAAAGGTTAATAATAAGTTACCATATTTCTCAAGCTGCTTACTGCATGTTCTTTGTAATATGCTAGCAGGTTGTTGTCAATGTGAACCACCCCTGTAATACACCTGTAAGCTCAAGGCCTGGTTAAACAATTACCTCTCTGTAGCTCAGTTGTTAAGAATCAGCTTTTACATTTGCCTCTCTTTCCGAAGCTGTAACAGTTATAGAATCATTAGATGATATTTGAAGGTAGTTGAATCATTTCTTGTTCTCTCACAGGACTGTCATTTAATTCTTGTTATTCCAAATGCCGTGAACAGTTCCTGGTAAACAGTGACTCAACACTGAAAGCTCAACTAATAGAATTCCGTGATCACAAGCTTATAACTTCCAAGAAGGTGAAAATTTTGGCCTTTTGACTCAGCCAATGTTTTGGATCCTTTTATACTCAACTTCTAAATGTGAATGACAAGCAATCAATTGCCAATGGTTTTATGAAAATTGCCACCATTTTCATTTTCTCGGCTTTTTTAACACATTTGTCATTTCTGATGATGACTTGTGCAACATTCATACAGTACTCAAAAAGTCAGGGTGCAAATTTAAGTTCACACGCCCTGTTCATTGTGTGAAATCACACCACTTGAGAATTCCAAATTAGACTTGTAATTAAAAGAAATAAAATTATCATAGTATTGAATTATGTGTTCTGTGTCATTGATTGCAGGGTGCTGATGGTGTAGAGTATCTGTATATACCAGTTGACTCAGCAACATTGAAGCAGTTTATAGAAGATCAACAGAACAACAACACATGACAAGAATATCTTGAAATTATAGTTAAATGCCATTTATGTGACCAAACACTAACACACTCAAAAATGTATCAGAATTGTACATGTATTTAAAAGTGTCAGTGCTAATAAAAGATTATTTTTAGAACAATAGAGGATGAATTTGATCACTGTATAGTCTGTAAAGTATATGTATATATTATGATTAAAGCTCTTTTAATAGTCACCTCCCTTCAACATCCTCTTTTCTCAGTTACTTTAATTTGTACCTTTTGTGACAACTTTCTCAAGCAGATGATCTTTTGTGATGTTGTCTTTTATTTTTTGAAACAAAATGAAATATCTTAACACTGTGAATAAAAACAACTGATAGACTCTGTACCTCATTTTTTTTTTTTTTTATTATTCTCTCCCTGAAATGACTAGTTGTTATTTTTATAATAGCTTTTGCATGATCTTTCTACTTCTATGCTACAATAAACATTTCTTTACTAAATAAAAATGTGCAACCCCTTTGTGACAAAATGGTGTCCTGACCCAAGAGTAGCTCACATTGAACTGTATGTACTAGTGCAATGAATATAATTTGAGCTAGTAATGTGTTGCACATTGGTCCACAAGAGAGTGCTGGGGGGGAGGGGGGCTCCCATTCTGCCAAACAGGACTAAAACTAAATGAAAGTGAAAAAGAAAAGCTAGATTTCACTGCTTACTACTAATAAAAGAATTGCTACCCCAGGAAGAGAAAGAACTCTATTCTGAACTTAACCAACATACTTTCAAATTTCTTTGATCTGCATTAGGAGAGAAATTGTCTGCATTATTTTGTATTGACAATTTATATGTACAGAATTAGCCTTCAATTAATTCAGTTCTTACCTTTATTTAAGGTTACTCCTAGAGAGTTATGAGCCATTATCCTACATCTGATAAATTATTTAATAATTGGAGGAATCATGAATTCTACTGACAACAATCATTCACTTGACTCTGATGATGACTTCCGCACAGGTTGTCGAAACGTCAGTCACTACCACCGACAACAGTCCTTCTCAGGACTACACTCACCCGGACGATCAGACTACACCTTCACATGTTACCCCCGGGTTCAAACCATTTACTGAATCATGAATTATTGCATGTCTACCAAATTGTTTCAGACAAGTGTAACAGTACTATAATCAAAAGTATTTCATCATTTTAAAATGTATGTGCACTCTTCCTTTCACGGATCTTAAGAATACATTGGCTCGTAAATACTGCGTAGGCGATGTTGTACCAACTGTATCATAACAGCAACCTCAACACTTTCCGATGCTGTTTCCTCTATAAGTTTTAAACAGTCACTAAGAGCACGTGGAATTCGTCTTCCTTCTGGGGACTTCTTTTGATACAAAACGCGTCCCATTTCCTTTAGTCCCCACTCACACACGTCTTTGACTTCTTTCTTTACTGAATTCACCCTTTGCTCACTGCTTTGCATTTTGTTCTCAAGTAACTCCACTCTCCTTTCAGCTAATTGTCTGCCTTCCTCTGGCGCAATCATGGCATACTTCTCATGACGTCGAACTTCTGTTATTGACATGTGTTTGGCAATTTCAACACATTGTTTACACAAGTCTTCCATGTTAAACTCATTAGCTAAAACAAGGAAGTCAATGGCCTGGTGAGGGGTCTTCTCTCTCTGTAACAAATACTTTTCACAGCGCTCTGTAAGTTGATCCATTTGATATTCTCTAGCCAAGGGAAGAAGGAAGTAACAGTTGGTTTCACCAATTGGTTTCGATGTTGGGTAAATGACGAGCAACAGTTCCTTTATTTCAGAGGCATCTTTTCCAGGAAGAGGAATCTCACTTGCAAATTTTTCTTTAAAATCTGAGGAGAAAATTCTTTCAAACACTGGTGACCACATGGATAAAGTACCCTTGTGAAAGTGGAACTTCTTCTCTTCAACAACAAGAACAGCATCACTAAGATGCCATGGTTCTGTAAAATCTGGCACAGATCCTTTTTTCTGCATCATTGGGGTTTGTCTGAGAAAAACAAATAAGTAGAATTTGTTGGCATTTATAGGCTTGTCGTAATTATGCTATTCACAATACATTTCATGGTGTATTAAAAAATATTACAACAAAATACTGCATTTTGTCGCAAGATGGTATACAATCATGTACCATATGGTGTTTACAGTCAATAAAAACAAAATTGATGAATGCTAAGCTTTCTTTGAAGCAAAAACATGACAATATCTTTAAATACAGAATAACAGTTTTTCTTCACTTTCATGGAGACATCCAATGGAGAGTGAAGGAAGCCTTTGATGGACCAGCCTCCATTGCCATAGACAGACCCTATACCCATTGTTGCTTTACAAAACAAAAATTGGAATTTACTCTGATAATGTAAGGAATAGTTGGTTTATTTATTGCCTTTGTTATTCAATTTAAGGTTAGTATACTATATTATACTTAGCTGACTGAAGCTTTCACCCACATGACACCCTTAAATTTTGTGTTGTTTGAAGCAAAAATTATATGCTGGCCATATTTGTGGGAATGGTGTAAGAGAACCTAGTCTCCCTCGCAGCCGTTTTTTCGGATGTCACACAACGCTCGCCTAATAGGGGAGCGTTTAATCTCCTGGTTCTCTTTAGTCTCCCTCGCAGCCGTTTTTTCGGATGTCACGCAACGCTCGCCTAATAGGGGAGCGTTTAATCTCCTGGTTCTCTTTAGTCTCCCTCGCAGCCGTTTTTTTCGGATGTCACGCAATGAAAAAACGGCTGTGAGGGAGACTAAAGAGAACCAGGAGATTAAAATCTGTCCCTGTAGCGGACAGGAACAAATGAAAAAGACAACCTGTATGTGCCACTTTAATTGCACAAAATTAATTTCTCAAAAGTCCCAGCAACATGCAGGAAGAGCAGTCACTAATAGGGCATTTTAAGAAGCTGCAGATTCAGGATTCAGACTCTGGCCAAAATTGGGGGGGGGGGAGGGGAGAGAGAAGTTGAACATTTTAACTCGCACCTAAGATTCTTTGTTTTATGTCGTTATAATAAAATGTTTTCAGTTATGATGGCCAATAGTCAGAAGAAACCAGTAACCATTATCTGAAACCTGGCCATCTCGTGACTCTCACAAGTAACAACAATTAATGCCATCAGGAGAGACTTGGGGAGACAAGTAAAATTGTGAACCTATGTGAATTGGAGTTTAACCCAAATACTTGTGTGTACATATCATACAGAAGGTTCAGTGTAACACTATAAATGATGGATGGTTGCTTACAGTTCAGTAGCCCTAATAAAGCCCTAACGTATCTGTATGTAAAATGCAATTATACTATACTTGATAGGGAATCGAATGAAATAGTTTCTGAAGAGGAAGCTAAGGAAAGAATTCCGTATAACCCCATACCAATGAAAAAAAAAAGCCGTAATCCCAAAGGCAATCTGTTGTTTTGCCTCTGCTTCCTTTTATCCAAGAACTGTATGCATAATGAAGTATGGGGTTCTACGGAAATCTTTCCGAAATAATTTTTGTTTTCATTTTTATCTTGGTATTACACTCTTGCTGACTTAGCAAGAAAACTGAACACCGGCAAAACCATGACCGAAGATGACAACCTTCAAAATTGAGTTGATCACTTCGGTGTGACGATTGAAGCGAACTGAATTTAACGGTGGAATGTAATTGATAATAATCAACAGCGTGTCTCATACACTTACTTCGGGTTTGTAGTAAACTTAACAGGGCAGCTCGACCACATCAGCAGATTAAGCGTTGTGTTTATTGGTCACGTGAACTTTTTCCCTCAGAGAAGATTGCATGACGAGTTGGAAAATGACGTAACACATCAGCTGAGATCTGATTCGCTCTAAGAAATACCACCCAGGAAACATGAACAGGCACAATCCACCGGTAGAGGCAAGGTTCCACCAGTGAAACTAAAAAAAATAACAAGGAAATGCTAACTTCCAAACTGAATACACCGGAAGTCGTCGCGTCATCGTTAAAAAGGGCCCATTACCTCAGTCGCAAAAACAATCAGTTCGATGTAACTCAGGAATTTACGCCAAAGTTTAGATACAATTATCTCAACGATAATTAAAGAATGACGTAAGAAAAATGAACTTCAGGGTGTGTGTTAAGCGCGTTGTTGGCCTACTTGCACGACAGTTAAAAGATAGCCACGTTTTGAGAAACTGGGACATCTATAGCTTTTTGCTCTGAAATGGGACTCCTCAGCGATTGTAATTTGCTGTCGCGCAAGTTGCCAGCGTTCACTAACTCAATGTACAGAAGGGGTTCCTTACTGCGGCCAGAATTATCCTTTGTTATTTTTGGACATTTCTTTCATTTCCTGTGAAGACTTCGATAGTGGCTTTGAATTGAAATAACTAAAATGTTGATCTGTTTTCCATCTATCATCCTTGTGGATTTTACACGATGCACATCCGTAGTTAGCTATTGCTTCATTTAAACCTGATGAGCATGAATTTATAATCACCACCGACGAAAAATTCTGTTTCGATTTCAGTGTGGCCAACAGTAACCGTGGCTTCTGTAATCATACTGTTAATTTCGATAAAAATGCTTCCAAATGATTTTTTGAGAGAGGTATAGTCTTCTTTCCCATTGTGGATAGCTAAAGTTCTGTTTCTTTTCGCTGTCATAACTTGATCTCCTGTCTGTACAATTGAAAAGGACATCAAAGCAAAGTTTAAATTCCGAGTCATGCGAGCCCCATCACCATTTACTTTGATTTTAATTTTGTCACTTGTGGTTTTTCTCTCAAGTGCATTTCCCGGTAGGCTGTCTATGTGGCATAGCTTATCTAAATTGGCTCTACACTGCTGAATTAGATATGTCTTTGGAAGCCCATCAGTGACCAAAGTAAGTTCATGGAAAAAAGAATGACCCACACAAAACTAGTCAAGGAGGAAGAGGATTTCTTTGACTTGCTTTTCTTCTTCCTCAGAGAGGGAATTGTACAGGGTCATTTCTTTCTCTTTTGGTCCTGCCAAATCACAGGGCAAACTGTGCTTCATGGATAAAGTATGTTTTACACCTGAGTAACTCTCCAATGTTTAATCCCAAAAATTGCTGAACCAAAGGGCAGTTTCAGCCCTAGTGAGAAAATTTTTAATATTCTTCCTTTGTTTTGACTAACACAACGAATATATGAAATTCATATATCTGAACTGCGGTTATAGAAACGTATTTGTGCACGATCCTCGCAGTAAAGAGCACTATTTAAGCAATAGTGAAAATCAAACCTGAAAAAATTCAGGCCTGTACGGGATTCGAGCCACTGACCTCTGCGATACTACTGCAGCGCTCTACCAATTGAGCTAACAAGCCAACTGGGAGCGGATCATCAAAATTAGTCCGACATAAACCCGTAAGATGATAAATACGTTTCTATAACCGCAGTTCAGATATATGAATTTCATATATTCGTTGTGTTAGTCAAAACAAAGGAAGAATATTAAAAATTTTCTCACTAGAGCTAAAACGACCCTTTGATTCAGCAATTTTTGGGGATTAAACATTGAAAGCATTTTGGTAAAGGAGAGTGACTATTTAATTTGGTATATCAATTAGTGCTCTTTACTGCGAGGATCGTGCACAAATACGTTTGTTTTGACTGGAAGAAACTGGCTTCCCTTTGTATTCAACATTAATAGATAATTTCTCCAGATTAGCCACATAGGCTTATTAATTTTGTGTTTTGAAGGTGACTAATAACTCTATCCTTCTCCTGAATAGCCTGAGTCAGTTCTTTGCATAACTCCGCTTTTTCCCATTTAGTGTTATTGTGTTAAGTTCTCCATTCATTGATTTTGCTCCTTAGTCTGATAATTTTCCTTTGAAGATCCTGAGGTGATTTTACTTCTCAAAAATGTGGAACTTCTTGACCCTGTCATTCAAGGCCTCTCTTGCTCTACCTTTTGTTGTCCTGTAGAGGTTTGGTACAGAACCACTGAGCTCTTTCGACCAATGTTTGGTTCATTTCATGTCTCTTGGTAGTGTCATCAGTGAAGAACAATGCAGGGTCTCTGATTGCTCCTTCTAACAGAGAAACATAATCCAACCGTCACAAGCTGTAGGCAAGGCAAAACTTGTGAGGCTTCGAATTCCTCAGAGGGGTCCTCAGTGATTATTCTTTGCCATTCCCTTAGCAATGGATAGGGTATTCCCAGGGCGAGTATTGGTTTCCTCTCCAACACTTTAGCTGCATATATAAGTTCCAGCTCACTGAACTTAACCTCTCTTGCATATTCATTCTCACAGCTTCTTCTTTCATTCGAAAATTTTGAAAAAACTCGCAAAAATGAATTGTTTTGCAACTCAGAAAACAGGAGGAGAGATTACCTAGTTAGAAGAGACTTTCAAAATGGTGGACGAAATGAGGCCGGATTTAGCATGGTTGCACAAAGGGTGTTGGAGCGAGTGCCTGAAAGCGACAGCTGAGTGAACTCGCCCAGTTTGAGAGGAAAACTTTCACACTTTTGGAACCGTTGATTTCAGTTTCATGGGCCGTTTTACAGCTTAGAAATCGACTTTAGCTTTCAAACAAGACATTCAGATTTGGGGACATCATACATGAGCAACAAAACTTGTCTGAAACGTTTTACGGTAGCACGTTCAGACAAATTTAAGGAAAATTAGAGGAGAAGTATGGTGGATTTTCTCAGGATCAGGAGGAAATTTCAAAAGAGTTGGGAACCGTCGATTCATCAACACTTTGTAAACAATATTGCTCAAAGGCCGGGGGAGATATTTTTCTTTTTAATGGGATTTGGAACCGGACAAAAGTTTCTTTTATGTGTTAGGAAAGCAAGGTTTTGACTACGGTAAGTCCAGTTTTCACTGTTTTCTTTGTAATTTCCTACGCACCGAAATATAATGTGAGTCCACAAAGTAACGCGATTTGCATGCCCGACGGCCATGATGTATCAGTTTGTTCGCCTTAATTTTTCGGAAAAATCAGAGTCGTCGCTATATAAACGACGGAGTCTAAGAAACTGAGAGAAGGAATGGGAAATCCAGACGTGATGGATGCAAAGATAAATGCAACAAGTATCTCTGACAATCTTTAGGTTTGTAACACACACTACTGCATAGACCGTTGCATTCACTAGAAACTTTGACCTCTAAGGCCAAAAAGCGTCCGAACTTCCCAGGTATACTTAAGGGCCAGGTGAAAGGATCGGTTATATATTGAGTTAAGGCTGATAGTTTCAAAAGAACCTGTTTGGGGCTGCGTCGGTGGGGGTAACGAAATAATTTGGATATATCAACAAAGTTGAAATGGTAAATTGGCCACCGTAACGATTACAAAAGCTGACGTTTCGAGCGTTAGCCCTTCGTACCGACGAAGGGCTAACGCTCGAAACGTTAGCTTTTGTAATCGTTAAGGTGGTCAATTTACCATTTCAACTTTGTTGATATATCCAAATTATATATTGAGTTAGTTCCTCTTTGAAAGAGGAAGTAGCACAGAGCTATCCGTACTCGAGGTCCGCCGGATGGGAAAATTTGGACTGCTGGCCGGAGTGCACAGAATCAGCCAAACAGATTTGAGGAGTTACCATTCAATACGGCCGGGATGCTTAAGAAAAAAAAAATATGGTTGTTACTAGACTGACAAATTTTCGCGAATAACGGTAATATTACACCGCTTAGTTTTGGGAGCTTCATCATTTTGCTTCCAATTAAGGAAGGTGTGCTCTGTAAACTGACAAACCCATTGATTTGTTCAGTGATTATTTTAAAATGAGAATAAACTGACGACTGCAAATTTATTTACCATTGTTTTATTGGGCACCACAAACATGCAACATTTCTTGCTGTCATTAGTTCCCAGAACATTTTAAAATGTGTCCTACTGCTCTAGCATTTTATTTCGACTGTAATACCTTCTTCCCTTGCATTTGCACAAGCCTCTACAAAAATTAGACTTAGTCTTACATAATGACAAGAAGTTTGAGTAAATATTTGAGCCAGATATCCATACATTATCTGACCTGAGCACCTAATATATATGTGCAATGGGGTAAATACGATTTATGGCTCAACATTGTTGTACAATGATGCCACCTAGTAAATAAAATGCTAATATGGTATAAATTAAATATATTAATGTATAATAGTCGGTAACTTGTTCTCTTGTCTCCAGCTACAAGTCTTAGATTATAACAACAAGGTTGAAAAAATGAATGCGGCAGATTCACATATCTGACCAGTGCACTTAGTATATATGTGGAGTTGGATAAATACATCATTGATGGCTCAACCCTGTTAGACAACGAGGCCACCTAGTAAATAACGTGCAAAGATGTGTGCAATGGGGTAAATACATCATCTATGGCTTAACATTGTTGAATAACAAAGCCATTTACCACTGAATAACTTGTCAAGAGAGCATTGAATATAGGTTAAATAATTCATCAATCAGTTACTGAATACATGATAATCTATAATACATTCTCCAATCTTCAGCTACAAACAATTTTTAAACAGATTTGATTCATTTTAACAAATTAGAGAATATCTCATAATTTGCATATATCAACAAAGTTGTAATGGTAAATTGGCCACCGTAACGATTACATTTTCCTTGGAATTAACACTTCGATACAAATCGAGTCTCAAGACATTTTACACTGATTGAACTGAAGTATCACCTTTAAATACAACAATTAATTTTACCCATGTTACTTAATGGCACAACATAGTCTATTATATATTTCAGTGACAATTGAAAGAAAGGCTTCAATTTAAATATTAGCACACTTTCGGTACTATTTTTAAGGTAGTTTATAAAATATCGAGAGAAACATCTTAATGTCTACGAAGAAAAACTCTTAGAAATTAATAGATATATCGAGTCAGCTTCTACCAGTCATTTTTTATATTTTCAAAACATAAGGTCTATGAATTTTTTTTGTTTGTAGTTTTCAGGAAAATCTTCCTTTTACATGCTTCTGAGAGCACATCTCTAATGTGAGCAAGCCTTTTTTCAATTTATCCTCTACTTACAATTTTTTTTCCCTTGTAATGTCTTGATGAGATCAAAATTAATCATACTACGGAGAAACTGAGATTTTATATAAATTTTGACAACTGGTTAGAGAAGAAAGCTTAGCTTGTAACATTATCTCTCCTATGTTATAACAGCCAAGTCAGCATGTTTGTTGCTCGGCCAAAATGACATGCTATCTTTCATTAAGTCTACTGAGGCAATCCCATACACTAACATCTGCTATATATCAATTACATATATGCTACGCTTTAAGACACATACTTGGATATTCATGTAAAGCACTGAAGTAATGCTAAGAGAAATATCGACTTTTTAAGGTATTTCTACATCAAACCTGGTGTTACTGCTTAACCGAAAACTCTAAGGAACAATTAAAACCAACTCCTTGAGATAAATAACCGGAGAAAATGTTGCATTCTTCTATTACTGAAACGGCTTACTCAGCAGGAGTTTGATAGAGAAGGCATCGAGCAGTGCTGCCAGTTACAGAATTGTTTCTTGTAGCAAATCCATGAACTCGTGGAGGTCATGGTCATCATCAAACGTGGCCAGTTGTGCCCTTGGAGATTTTCACCCTGAGCCTTCTGATATATTGTCATCCTGTCTGTCTTGTTCTGATACGAAAAATAGAAAACAACTCATTAGTCATTTTCTCCAAAACAGAATGCTAGAAATTTTGTGCTAAGAATAATAAGTAAAGATTGTTTCTTACCTTTTTATCCATTTAACAATAGAAATATTTCAAAAGCTTCTTTTGTGGTGATAAGAGAGAGAGAGAGATTCACTCACCTTTATCAACAATAAGCAACTCGTGTTCTAATGGTTCATCATCTGTGTCTTCCTCGGTTTTCTCTTTCGATCCTCCTTTGGATGCTTTTTCCTGTCCAAGCTTAACCTGCTGCTCTTCAGGTTTCCCATGATCCTCTTTTTGTCCTTTCCTCTTTACAGGTTCAACTTTCTGCTCTTTGCATTCTTTAGGGTCTACCTTTGGTTTTCTTAGATCAGTTTCCACGTGCTGCTGTTCACTTTCTTCATGATCCCCTTTTGTTCCTTGTTGATCAGGTTTATCTTTCTTCTCTTCATGCCCATCATGGTCTTCTTTTGGTTGCTCTTGTCCTCCAGTTTCACCTTCCTGTTGTTCAGCGGGTTCTCCATGGTCACCTGGTTTTGCTTGTTGCTGATGGTCACTTCGTTCATCTTCGGATTTTTCATCACTGTCATCGCTTTCCACATCTTCCTGGTTTTGGACTGTGAAAAAAAAAAAAGGAACGGATATAACACAAGTTGTTGTTAAAAGACAAGCATGTGAACACAAGTCAGAGTGACGTTTTGACCTAAGTTTAATCCGTCTCCACTCTATTCTTAACATATGTATATATATATATACATATCATTTATCTTTACATTTTTTATCTCATTTAGTTAATTATAATTGTTATTTTATGTCTTGCGTGATGGCCCCCCTTTACAAGACTAATAAATGTAGATGTATTCTAGTTCTGGCCAAATTTCTGCGTACCTTCTTCCATGACATTCATTTCTATGCCCTTTTCTTGACCTGAAGGAAGGAAGAAATGACATTCGTTAACTCACGCAAATGAATATACATACACACATAGGTTAATTGATAACTCCCCATAGGGGTGTTTCAGCACCAATTCCCACCCATCCCACCCAGAGGAGGACATCCATGACACAGTAATCTCGTGCGCGGGAAATTAACGTTTCCTACCCCTAACCCTGCAGGAGATGGGGCCTACGGTTTATTCGTCCTTATCCGAGAAGACTAGAATATTTATCCATTTCTTGATTATAGAAAGGTAGCAAATTCTCCTCAATTATCTTCGTAATGACAATTAGGGAAAAATAGGCTCTACGTCAAATGAAAGAGTGATAAATATGACAAGGTATTTTCTAAAGGATTTTAACAATTTTTGCGATTTCCTGAAAAAATCTTTTCATTACAAAGGAATCATCCACAAGTCAGAATATGATTAATTCAGTCAATTTATTAGAGATGATAAGTGTTAACTGCTGGGATGCTGGGAAGTGTCATTTTATATGCCTCCTGGCACAAGTTTCTTTTACTAGGCGTGTAGTCAAAAGTGATAAGAGTTCATCCACAGTGTCGGTAGTCAAAATGTTCTCGAAAGGTTAAAGCAGCTTCCGCACCAAACAGCTCATAATTTTGGAGCTTTCCTCGGTTTTAGCGGTTTGAGGTTTGAAGCAACAATGAGTATCGCCAATTCCTTCGCTGGGCGGAATGCTAGTAAGGTTGCACCCCAGAAATGTTTATCTGGCTCGTACTCGTTTTCTCCCAACCTTCCGCGTGGGATATTACACCTGTCTAGCAAACTACCAGAAAGTGCGGTCTATTCCAGTTTGAGGCCTGGAAACCTTTAACAATGTGACGTAGTCAACTGCGATGGAATAACATCCCGTCCCACAAGATTAGCAATTCTCTAAGTTGATTAATGAGGGTGGTAAAGGGATGGTTTCCGTGACGTTTCACGGAAAATAAATTGGTCCTTTCACAATTCACGGGAAATAACATTACTGTCGAAACCACAACCAAAATCACGGTTCACGACGAATTAAATACTTCTTTCTCATTTCACGGAGAATAAGTTTTGAAAATCACGGCTTACGACTACTCATGAAATCACGATTCACCCAAAAAAACCATATCACGTTTCACAGGAAAAAAATGGGCCATTCACGGATCGCCAAAATACCCTTTACCACCCTCATTTATGCGGAAGGAGCAAGGGTAATCCTCTGACATGAAACGCCAGCATACTCGTCAAATGTAAATTTTCCTCGAGGATGAAAAGACTAATTACACCTGGTGGCTTCTGAGATGATAGCTTAGCTCAGCTTAATCAAAATCCTTATCCTGGAGGGTTAATTACTCGATAGTATTACCTTCGTTGTTTTGATTCCGTCGACACTTTGCAATTAAATAACTCCAGAGCGGTCTGAATCTGGTTTTCAGGATGCCTCGAACCTATATTGTAGCAGACGGAATGGTAAATATCTCAGTTTTTTCCACGCACTACTCTTTAAAAACTATTAACCAATCTAACTAGAAGTATAGAAAGATGGTTGTGGCTACAACCCCATTTAATTGTGCCATGCCGTGAAACCCACAAGTAACTTGACTTTTTCGGCATTTACTCAATTCAAGTTGTGGGAGTGTATTAAGAGTAATCAAGACAAATGTAGATTCTGAACTCCCATTAAGAAAGAGAGCCATAATATTGTTATGCCAAATAGTCTTTTCCGCGATGCTGACTTTCCAGGTCATGAGAACTGGGTCATTCAATATTCTTGGTGGTCCGCACAACGTACAAATATAGGTGTCCCTATCTCAGTTGATCTGGCATCAGAAACTGGACGTTTATAGAGAACAATGAGGATATTTACCACCCAGAGAAATTGTTCATACCTGTGGCGTAGAGAAGGTGTACAAAATGGGATTAAAGGCGGAGTTTATGGGTAGAACAAATACTGCTATCCAGACAGTCAAGTCACCAGGTGTTGAGAAGGACTTTTCCAAGAGAGACCTCATTCCAATCACCCCGATAGGAAGCCAGCAGAGACAGTTGGTAAGGACGATAACGAACACCCTTTTGGCGATCGCGGTTTCTCTTTTTCTATGGGCTGTATTTGACCTGGCTTTCTTCTCACTTTTTGTCACCTGCTGAGCCCTACGCCGACTTGAAGCGTAGAAATTATACAATATCATCGTATAGGCAATAATGACAGAGAAAACAAGAGAAAAATTTATGTCCACAAACATGGCAACCGAGTACTCCCACCTCGCCGGTTTGTCTGATGAAAGCTGCAGTGGCAAACACACAACTGACCTGCCATAGAAATGGTGACCTTTCTGGGGTTTACCAAAATAATCGTAGCCCACCGTGGGAAGAAATGCAATAATGCAACCGATGATCCAAATAATGATGCACAAAAGGTGGGTTACCTTGCATGAGAGTGACCTACCACGATAGGGGAACACAATATTTTTAACCCGGTCGGCAGACAGCATGGCAATCAGCATCACTGACACCTCACAAGATAACAATGCAATGGCACCTGTTATCTGGCATGACAGACTTGAACGCCACGGAAAGTCGTGCAAGAAATATTGCCCTGACCAAATGGCATCCATCACACCTACAATGATGAGATAGACACCCATCAGTCCATCTGACCCCGCCAAATGCATCAACATGATAGATTGGATCTTGTTTTTCTTCTTCTTCTCCTTGAACATCAGCCGCCACACAATAACAAAAACAGCTCCAACCAACGAAAGAATTCCAATCACCCAAATGCACTTCCTTGGAGCTGGATTGCGAAACATACTTTCACAATTTGCGAAGCTGTCGACGTAAACGAAATCGCAATCCGCGTCTTCTTTAGTCAAATGGCAGCACATAAGATTGGTGTCTACAGTCCTACGATTGATATAAAACGAAAACGCTCATTTAAATCACAGAAAAATACATACGGCTTTAAATAGGGGTTGCACTATGATAGAGGGGTAAAAAAAGGGAACCTGTGATAGTCACAGAAATTAGGTACTAAGGCTACTAAGTGGTTTCGTAGCGTTAAGTTGTTTAAAAACAAGATGAAATTCTGCATCACTTGAGACCCTGACAAGGCGTGAAAGATATTTTAGCTGACTTACGATGTTGTCAAGTCCTTCATATTTGAGAAGAAACCTTCAGGTAATTCTCGCATTTCGTTGTTGTGAAAGTACCTGAAAATTAAGGGAATGAAATCAAATTAGATAAAGTATATATAAATGCTCATTGTCGTAGCTCATTTTCTCCTTCTTTTCAACGATATAACGAGGAACTCAGTCAAAGTCAGGTGATTTAATTTTCATAAAAGTCGAGAGGCATCTAGTGGTTTAGGACAGCCGAAAAATGCTCTCAGAGTACCTTAAATTGGTTCGTATTGCTGAAGCTAAGCGTTTCAAGACTTAGTTCTTATTATTCGCTTCGACGAAGGGCTAACGCTCGAAACGTCAGCTTTTGTAATCGTTACGGTGGCCAATTTACCTTTTCAACTTTGTTGATATATCCAAATTATCTTAGTTCTAACCAAGCGAGAGGTCTGTATGGGAGAATTTTGACCGAGGTCGCCAGTACAGACCGAACGCAGTGAGGTCTATACCAGCGACAGAGGTCAAGATTCTCCCATACAGACCGACCTAGCTCGGTTAATAAGATGTTTAATTATATGGCTGTGTCTTATAGGCCAATTTTTTATATTCTTTGTACCTTTTGTTTTCTAGACCGGTCTAGATGCCGGTCTAGATGGGAAAATCTAGACCGCTTTCAATATTAATTTCAGCCAATCAAATTAGTGAATTCGGTAGTTCCCAGTCCTTGTGAGACACAGCCATATAATAAAACGGGGTAATAAAACTCAGGAGACCGAGATAGCAACGATATTATCTTGTGCATACTAACAGGAATTGAATATTTGGTGCTACATCTTTTAATATAACGTTATTCAAGGTGGGGATGTTGTTTAGATGAAAGTTCCTGCAAAACAAGAAAAATATGGTGAAGAGAGTTCGGTTGACTATTAACAAATAATGTACGGGAAAGATGCTGGGAGAGACCAACGGAAATCATTTGGTTTCTGTAAGTCATAATTATTTTACGAGGTCCCTTTTAGTTCCCCTATATTTGGATCCAGGCAATTAAATGAAAGATACGCAACAGCTACTTACATAGAAAGCAAGTTTTTAGCGCCTTCGAAAACCCTTGGTGGCAGATACTGGATTTTGTTGTTGTAAACAGCCCTTTAACAACAAGAACGTTGATCATCGTCAATATGATGGGTGTATTAACTCTTTGGAAGAAAGAAAGATTCTTGTGTATAAAATTTAAAGAGGGTTTAATGTCTATTCCACTGGTCATCTGTTCTGATATCCTTAGTTACTATCCGAGATTGAAAAATATTAAGAAAGCATTTTAAAGCCGCGGCCGTGATTTAACACTGAGAAAACATTTCTCGTTATTTAGTACAAAGTAAGAAGATGAAAAGATTGTGTTTTATGCTTCAAGAAGTTGCCAAAATGGTTATGGTTTCCATCCAAAAAATGTTTCCAGCTACTTATCTTTATTTGTACTACGGAAAACAGGCCAGAGGTCAATTATAAACTAGAGGGAGAAGAGTCAATTTATGTACTCACAAGTCTCTTAGATTTGACAATCCCTGGAACTGATCAGAAGCCAGAGTCGAGAGGCTGTTGTTGCTCGTGTATCTACACAATAAATATGAGGTAATAGCTTCACCTTGTGACAAACCAAACTGGAGGGACCCCCTAAGTGTCTCAGTCAAAGCATATGATCATTTACACAACTGTAAGAGTCTGAAATCATGGCAACATACAGTTATTTTAGCTAAATATTGCTTGAGCGTTTCTGAACATAACGATATACGATACCTTTCAAATTCTGAGGTGAGAGTTTATTTTTAGTCTCTTTTGATTAAATAAAGAGTGGTGCGCATTTTGGCTTTCGCCTGCAATAAGTATCCTAAAACAAACTTTCGCCTTAAAAAAAATGGCTGCTTTGTCATTTTCGGGTAAACTCAGTTTTAGTTTATGAGAATCTCTGAATTTACTGTCAATGCGGTAAAGTCTACTTCAGCGAAACTGGGAGATCGATTTTGGACAGAATCAAGGAACATTGCAGTCTCCCAGCTCGCTAAAACGTAAACCCACCTCTTTTCAGAGTTCGCCTACAGAAGACGCCGGCCGCAACATTTTTTTTTCAATCCAAATCGAAAGCATCAGTAGGGGGCATACAATTGGATTAAAATGTAAGAACGATGCCCGAGATTACGAAACATAGCAAAACGAGCGCCGTAGAACAAAAGATCGCTGAGGAAACGAATCTTCAAAAGGCGACAATCACAGCTTTAGCAAAACCTTTTAGAATCACAGCGGAACACAGACCCTCATAAGGTAACCTGTGGAGACCATAGACTGAAGATAACGATGAGGCATACGTACAGCCCTATCATCATCTTCAGTTGCACAAAGTTTAAATCACGAACGCAAAGTACTTACAATATTGCCAGTTGGGAAAGATTTCGGAAACTTGGCAAATGCCGAAGTTTGTTATTGGACAAAAAGCTGAAGAAAAAAAATGCAGAAACAGAAAGCAAAGGATCAGAGGTGATGAAAAATGACAGGAGGAGAAACTTTACCTTAACCCTGTGTCTATTTTAATACACATCGAACGGATGCCACTTACAGCATTTTTAGCTGAGTAACATTTCTGAAGACATCCCACGGCAGACATTGGAGATTGTTATTTGAAACATCCCTATTTAACGGAAATGGAATATAGATTGAGCGAGCCTTTATAAACCAAGTTCCCAACCCCATTCATCAGGAAAAGGCATATATACGTATGCTAGCCAGTCAGTGTTAAACTAGTCAAGTTTAATGGGTTTAACCGTCAAATTTGCACATTATCACTGGCAAAAGTGGGAAGGAATCATCAATGTGCAGTAATCATTAAAAGATGGCTCTTAAACATAGTTGAAACTTCAGCAATAAAACCTCTCAGGTTCTCTAAAAGTACCTCAAGTTGAAGCAGAACTAAACGAGATAAAGAAAAATAGAAGACTGTCATCTAGGAGTAAGTCGTTTGGAACTGCTACCGGTGTTACAAAAGTCAAAGTTGCTGATTGCAATAAAAAGAGTCCTACTTACAGTTTCTTCAGCTTAACATTATTACTGAGAACATCCCGAGGCAACTTCTGCAGCTGGTTGTAGGACAAGTCCCTGCAAATGAAGTAACGAGTCGATTAAAAACTTTTCACGCATTGAGTTGCCTCAAGCGGCGCGCTTATTAACATTGAATTTTCTACACAAACCGATGCCTGAGATATTTTTTTTCTACGATATTAAATTGAAATCATAAATGATGATGAATTTAAAGGGATGTTTCAAAGGTATATATAAGACTGAACTCACAATTCTTCCAAGTCAGGCAAATGCTTAAATATGTTTCTTGGTAGCTCCTTTAACTGATTGCCGCTTAACCGCCTAGCAAGTGAAAAAAGGAAATATTACTCTTCTCTTTAAAGAAAAAAAAAAAGAGATGAAATAATATAGCTTTTTGTTTAAAACACAAACGAAAGACGGGGCAGCTAGAGAGCTGCTCCATTATAGAAAAAGATGTACGTGGACATTTACCATGAGACCCACTGCTGTCGATACATTCTCGTGCACGAAATTCATGGAAGATTCTTAGAAGAACCAAGATTCAAAGAGCTAAGATTCAAAGATATGAGTTTGATTATTACTCACAAGTATCTTAATTGATTCTGTCCCTCTAACAGATCTTCAGGCAACTCTTTAAAGTTGTTATTTCCTAGCCACCTGTGAACCATTTTAGAAAGCTTTTTATTTCTATTTTGTTAAACATAAAAGGTGATAAGTAATTGAAGTTGGCTAGAAACATCATCCCTAGTCACCTAACTCGACTAGATTTAAAAAAAGTGCTCAAAACCACTTTTTTTTGTCTTCGCAGTCGAACGATTTTCACGCATGAGCTCAGCAAATGTAGCCTTCTACCCCCTACATCTTTGGAAACATCACCTTTCCAGATATTTTAAACATTATAGCCATATTCTGCACACAATATTTTTTGATGTCCTATTGTGGAATACCCCTTCCTTTTTTGGAGTAACCACTCTTAGCATAGCTATTATAAAAAACCTCAACAAAAATTTAAAATAGAAAGAGAAAGAGAGAGAGAGAGAGAGAGAGAGAGAGAGAGAGAGAGAGAAACAACAACAACAACAACAACAACAACAAACATCACATCGATAATTTGTAAGCTTCGGAGCAAGTTACGTACAAATCATAGAGTTTGTGAAACTTGAAGATATCATGAGGCAGCGTCTCCAGTTTGTTGAAGTCGAAGGTTCTGGGGAGAGACACACTCATTTTGTTTTCGAAATGTTTTTCTTACTGCCGCCTATAACTTTCAACTTATAGTGCCATTCCAAAGGAAAGTACATATAGTAAATATACAGTAGCGCAGTAATTCAGTTCTGAAGATCATATCATATGTTATTAAAGAAATTGCCAAAAGATGTCATATCTGAATATATCCTATGTAAAGAAATCAAGGGGTCGCAAGCTGCAGTAACGCTGTTGCATCATTTATTGTAATTACAGGCGTTATCATCAACAGAGTCGTAGTCTTGAATTTCAGAATCGGAAGATTTTGTTTACGTTTGCCTATGAATCCGAAAAATAAAACCTAATTGCCTAAAGGACCAAGGGACCAAGGTTAATCGTGCGTTCTAAAAAAGCTTCTGAACCAGTTTTGCTTCAGTGAAAATACCAAATAATCAAACGACTTTACTTACAGATTTGAAAAATTAGCCATCTGTGCTAACATGGGTAAAAAATTAGACGGCAACTTCCTTAAGTTATTGTTGTTCAGAAATCTGCATCGTGAAAGGGAAACAATCACCAAAAATAACTATTGCCGGTTTTATCACACCATCACCAAAATCATTCAAGAAATAAAGTCAAGAATCGAAGAGATAAGAGAAAATGAATATTCAAACGGATAGTCTCGCAGACATCAAGGTCTGTGCGATGTTTCGTGCGGGAGATACTAGAAAAAATGTTTCAATCAAATTTACAAGGGTTTTCAGTTGAGGAGATACCAAGTTTGCATCATTCTGAGGGGCGCAAAGATGGCGGCGGTCGGAAGTTAACATCAGCATACTTCATCGAGATTTGCTATAAAAACCTTTTCGAGCACCTCATCCATGGAGCTCCCGCGACGTATCGGCGTCACTCTTAGAGATCCTCGCAGCGCACTGACAACCATTTTTTTTTCTGACTTTTTCGATGAAGACTGAAAAAGACGGTTTCTCGCTTGTGGTGTTCAAGTCAAGATTAGAGCGAAAAAACTCCCGTTACTGAATGTTTAGTTCGTTACGTTCGTGTTTTGTTTTCTGTGTACGAATTTAACAACAAACAAATATGTCCCTTCTTCTATAACTCGCACCTTTATCTTGAGTTCAAGTTTAAACAAACATTTTTATATAGATAAAAGACAGATTTAAGGTTGAAACATTGGGGAATATCTCTTGGGGAATATCCGAGGATATTACCCAGTTTTAGCAAGAGAATATTCAATCAGGTGATGCGTTTAGACCAATCGCGCACGAGGAAAAACAGCTAATGGACTACAGAAGCTGATTAACTGAGATAAATGAAACCATCAGAACACCAGAAATGTAATATACGGAGCTGAAAAATTTAACAAAATGCGATATTGGCGTTTGGAAATTACAATTACTTTACAATCATAGAAGGGTGTCTTTTAGTATTGTAATGAGCGTAGCAATAAAGCCTGTACAAATCTCTAAAAGTATAGATATCAAGTTTTAGCAAAAGTAAACTAGATAAACAAAAACGATAAAAGTGTTTTGAACGAAAAATTTACTGTAACTAATGTAATGAAAATCACAATGCTAATATATTGTATTGCGACACAAGAAGTCCCACTTACAGTTCCCTCAGCCTAGTACTATGATTAAGAAAGCCTTCAGGCAGTGTCTGCAACTTGTTGTAGGACAGGTCCCTGTCAATGAAGTACGATGTAACAAGGTAATTACCAAAAACAAAATCCTGTTTACTAACCGGAAAAGTAGCAATTTGATAAAGTAGCGTTTTCTTAAAGTTATAGAAAGCTATCACAAGCAAAGTTGCCTCGCGTGGAGTGCTTGACGTTTCTATATGGACCGATACCTGATGTATATTGTCTCAGAGGTAGTTAGTTGAATTCTTCATGAGCGTAATAAAACTAGGGTTTTTTTTCTTGACGCCGATTCGAGGAGAAACATAATCAGTTTCAATTAATTGAAGAATTAAATAATGACGTTGGGTTGGATTTCATCATTAGCTTTTGTATTTCCATTGAAAACTTTCGTCCAATTTTAGCTCTAGCAATACGTTCTCAAATATAGAGGGTCGGAGATGCAAACTTGACGTTCTTAGTCCCACCTTTCTTAGCGCCGAAGTAATGTACTTGAGTGCCAAGTTACTGAATTTTCGATAAGGCAGAACACTTTCGACTGGCAAACAATTGCAAACCTCCACTGACTTCCACATAGTTTTTTTAAATGTCAATCAAAGCAAGAGCTGCCTTTAGGATTACCTGTATTCTATGGCAAACTGTTCTTCCAATAGGTTAAACGATAAAAGTGACGAACTCAAAGAGTTGTTTCAAAAATAATAATAAAAATAGAACTTACAGTTCTTCTATGTTCGACAAATCTTTAAATATGTTTCGTGGTAGCTGTTGTAACTGATTGCCTTTCATCCGCCTATCGTGTGGGAAGAGATAAGTTAATCATTTCTTTAAAAAACGAAACAGAAAGAATGCACAGCTTAAACTAAAATACAATTACACGGCGTACAACCACAAGGCTCACCGATTTTTTTCGCCACAATCTACGTAGCATTTAATATTCTACAATTTTCGTCAAGCCAGACTCATCGGTATAAAAACATTCCCAACCAAGAAAATCGTGGTCGCCAAAAACTAAACATTCATCCTTGCATTATATTAATGATTTATTCTACATGTATTCAGTACTTTTCCGTCACTAGCATTTTGGTTACTGGCAAATAAGACATAAGAAGATTCTACAAAGATCCAAGGTTTGATCATTACTCACAAGAATCTTATTCTATCCTGTCCAACAAACAGATCTTCAGGCAATTCTTTAAAGTTGTTATTTCCCAGCCAACTGTGAACCACATTAGAAAACGTTTTATTAGCATTTTTTGAGAAATTTTAATGATAATAACTAGTTAAGAAAAAAATTGATCGGAGCTAATAACGTTTTGCCAAAGAATTTGAGCTAATAACGTTTTGCCCTAGAATTTGAGTCTGGGAACTCTACTGATGCTGACTTGCCCGTCCAAGGAAACATTAACAGGAACTTATCATTGTGCGGCAAATCATTCAAACCATAGACCTTGAACCAACTACACACCAAGTATAATGCAATATTTTGATTGGTCGACCATTTCTAAATTTGCTCACATCTCTGCTAAATTTCTTTACTAAAATCAGGGGTAAGGAGAAAAAATTCATATACACAGCATTATTTTTGATAACGAGCCTTATATCGCTAAGTTATCTCAACAATAAATTTGATAACAACACAACACACAACAACATAATAACATAATAACACAAATAGACTTAGGTTTGTGTGGTGCAGTCTTCTCCTCTTCGAAGCCCTTATCGAGGCTCCGTGATCTAGCGGAATTTTAGTAGAGTAAAAATCATCTCTTAACTCCTAAGGGTATCTTTTCATTATTTGTGAAACAGCAAAGCCTCGATTTTTTCTTTCGTATCTTTCGGTTTCTCCAAACTTTAAAGATGCTTTGACGGATACGCGCTAGTCTCTGACAACGTGTGAATCCTAACGGATCTCTTCTAGGTGCACTTCAACTTCCAATGTGTTTTCCTATTTTATTTTTTAATGACTGTTAAAACCAAAGCAGGGCATACAGGTCTGCATCGTGTCAGTCTTGTTACAGCCACTGAGCAGGAGCTCCACTGATCATGACACGACAAACTTCTAAATGATTAGAACACATCGATAATTTATAATCATGATTGAATCAATCATATCACCTCAATAACCTCTACTTTAAGTTCTTGTAGATAAATGATTTCACTGTCACGAGTGTTACCTTGATGATTTAGTAGTCAGAGTGACTCAGTCTGCCTCCTTTGCTGTTTGCAAATTTATTTAGTACTTACATTCTCGTCAAATGTCTCGTTTCATCGAAAACTCCAGGGGGGAAGTCTTTCAAATGATTATTGGACAAGTCTCTATTACGAAGAAATCATCAAAACAAATTGTTAGCTTTGATTTGTTTGAGAATATTTGTAATTATCACTAATATGGAAAGAAACTTTCTATCTCGCTAAAAAAGACCTTAGATTTGCCTGAGGCCAACACTATTGTTCGATGAGGCCCGAAAAGATATAAATTCAATGATAACACAAGAATTCTGTTTGGTAAGTGCAGCAAGGCAATATTATGCTTAACCCTCTGACCTACGATCTTGATTGATACCCCCACAATGGTACAGAGTAGGTTCAGTATCATGAAAATGATTATCCATCAAAAGACACTCTGTAATGTCCAAGCTGAGTTAAAAGAATGAGTTATGTTTATCCAATACGCTGTCAAGATTCGTGACGTCATTTAATAACGATTCATAGACATATAATGATAGATACAAAAAGTTTTTATCTTATCACATTGTATAACCTCTATCACTAATTATCAGCATAACTAAGTATGGCAACAGTAATGTCGGCTAGCGTAGGACGGATTTTATTTATGAGTTTATCATCTCGTCTAGGCGTGATTATTAATTTCATCTCAACTCATAAATAAAATCACTCCCATACGAGATGATTAACTCATAAATAAAATCCGTCCTATCATTAAGGGAACTTTTTAAGATTAAATTCTTTGATTAAAAACCTGTCGTTTTGTTTTCTTATTCCCATCAAAATAACACCCTGTCTCATGTGACAAAACACTCGGGCATGACACTTAGTCACATAATTCGTGATGATTCATATTCATCTGAACTCATAAATAAGATCCGTCCTAAGCCAGCCGACATTACTGCTATTAACTAACATTCTGGAATATCCTGGGATATTGTAAGCACAACTTTACAGCTGTTACAGTTGATGACACAAAAAATCAAATTTTACAAAAATATCTGTCACTTCAAGTACGGGCTGGGCGGTATCCGGTCGTTTCGTTCGCCTCCGTTTTGGGCTTAAAGTAGAATAGCTCCGAAGCCTTCTGGACTAACATCCGAAATTACATACTTGGGAGCATTAAGACGGAAGCATGCGAGAACGGGCTCACAAGATAATGCTTCCTTCAAAGCTTCGAATGCCTCTTTTTGCTACTTTATCTATGACCATTTCCTTTCATTTCAGGTGAGCTTTCTTGGAGGTTCCACGATGTTCATGTAGTTCGAGATGAATTTCGTAACATAACTGCACGTTCCGAGAAATGAGCGGAGATCAGATACACTCTCAGACGATGGCGTAGCTTTGATTGCTTCGCACTTTTTCGGTTCGGGCTTGATACCGTCAGCAGATAGCACACGACCTAAAACGACATCTTAGTAATATCAAATTGGCATTTGCTTATGTTGAATCTTTGGTTTCTCGCGTGGCATCGTCCGAAAACTTAACGGAGTCGGTCGATAAGCTATGCCATCATAGCTTCGCGTATATCAACATCAGTCGATCGATCCAACAACTATTCTTCTTCCTAGAAAAAGCTGTTTCTAGATAGATATGGTGCATAATTAATATATCTTATTAGACGTTTTGTTGTGTAGTATCTCTGAGTATTTTTATGAGTTGTGCCGTATTTTGAC